ATTCTAAAAATTATTCATGATTTTATTTCACCTAAAAGACATACAAAGTTGCCAAAATCATCTAATTTTGTATTTTGTTTCCATAAGGCATTTCTAATATGAACACCCTATAATGCTGGCTCTCATTGATACTACATTGCAACATAAAATATTGATTTCATATAAATACAGTATAATTAAGAAAGTATGAAAATAGATCGATTGAAAAAACTTTGTGAGCTTTTTGTAACCTTTCTTATATTTTGAAAATGTAACTAATTTTTCCCTTCATTTTTTTTTGATGGATTAATTATTCTTAACGCACTCTATTCCAACCAATCATTGGTCCAACTAATCATGACTTTCTTCTCTTATTGTGTAAATTGATGTTTCCTTTCCAAGTTTTGTCTCTTGAAGTCAGTCTTGATGGGTACATGATGAAAAACTTGACTTTGTGTCTCTTTTCAGCTATATTTTATTCACTCTTATGATCCTGCAGGGAATGTGCTTTTGTCAGTCAAGTGTAAATCCTGGTGGGTGTGAAACTAATATATGAAACCACTGCTAAAATTTGCCTTTCTTAAAGAACTTGAGGAATTTTACAGCAATTTCCACAACCACAGTATGTCCCAAAGCGCTTTACAGCCAATGAGGTACTTTTGAAAAGTAGTCAATGTTTCAAAGTTATTCGTACATTTCTCAGAAAAAGGATGATATAAGAAAGCTAATTAAATAGGAGCCCATGGTTTTAGGGGTAGGGTACTGGCAATGGATAGAGGATTGGCTGACTGGCGGAAGGCAGAGAGTTTGGATAAAGGAGTCTTCTTCAGGTGGCAAACCAGTGGAGTCCCGCAGAGGTCCGTATTGGGACCACAACAATTCATGCTATAAATTAATGATCTAGATGAAGGAACTGAGGGAACTGTTGCTAAGTTTACAGATGATACAAAGATAGGTGGAGGGACAGATAGTGTTGAGGAAGTGTGCAGGCTGCAGAAGGATTTGGACAGGCTAGGAGAGAATGCAAAGAAATGGCAGATGGAATACAATGTGGGGGAATGTGAGGTTATGCACTTTGGGAGGAAGAATACAGGCTTAGACTATTTTCTAAATGGGGAAAGGCTTCGGAAATCTGAAGCACCAAGGGACTTGGGAGTTCTAGTTCAAGATCCTCTTAAGGTTAACATGCAGGTTCAATTAGCTGTTAAGAAGACAAATGCAATGTTAGCATTCATTTCAAGAGGGCTGGAATACAAGAGCAGAGATGACTTCTGAGGCTGTGTAACACTTAGGATAGAATTTGGAATATTGTGAGCAGTTTTGGGCCCCGTATCTACAGAAAGATATGCTGCTGTTGTAAGGGATCCAGAGGAAGTTTGCAAGAATAATTGTAGGGATAAAGGGCTTGTCGTTTGATTGTGGACTCTCTGTTTCTAATAACAGGAGAGACTCGGATGCAAGGACACAGCCTCAGAGTGAAGGGGCGACCTTTAGAATTGAGATGAGGAGGAATTTCTTCATGCCGAGGGTGGTGACTCTGTGGGACTGCTTGCTGCAGAGGGCTGCAGAGGCCAAGTCATTGAATGTGTTTAAGTCAGAGATAGATAGGTTCTTGATTAGTAAGGGGATCATGGGTTACAGGGAAAAGACAGGAGAACAGGATTGAGAAATATATCAGTCATGATTGAATGGTGGAGCAGACTCAAAGGGCTGAACGGCCTAATTCTGCTCCTATATCTTTTGGTCTCAAGTACAAATACCTCTAGTTATGTTTCGGAGTTTGAGAGTAATCCATACTTCTGGGTTAGAGGAAAGGGAGCTTCACTCTTCAGCTCAGTGTCCTACACATGACATGAAGGAACTCCTTTCCTCCATTCCAGATCAAATAAAATATTCAAACATGTTCTGGATCAATTGAAATTGAATTACACCATAAGACCATAAGAATTAAGAATGGGAGTAGGCTGTTCGGCCCCTTGAGGCTGCTCAGCCAATCAATAGGATCATGGTTGAATCGAGATTCCTTTCAACTACTTTCCTGCCATTTTCCCATAACCCTTGATTCCCCTCCTGATCAAGAACCTATCTAACTCAGCCTTAACTATATACTGCCCCACAGCTCTCTCTGGCAAGGAGTTCCAAATGCTCACAACTCTCTAAGAAACTCCCCCTCATCTCAGTCTTAAATTGGCACCTCTTAACTCTGAGACTGGGTTCTCTGGTCCCAGATTCACCCATGAGGGGAAACATCCTCTCAGCATTTACCCTGTCAAACTCCTGAAGAATTCTATGTGTTTCAATGATATCACCTCTCATTCTTCTAAATTCCAGTAATTGGAGTCCCAAACTGTTTAATGTTTGCTCGTAAGACAATCCATCTAGATGTCATCCGAGTGAACTTTCTCTGAACTGCCTTCAATGAAATATTGCCTTTCCTTAAATCAGGGAACCAAAATTGCTCATAGTACTCCAGATGTGATCTCACCAGTATCTTGTTCAGTTGCAGTAAGACTTCTTTGCTCTTAAACTCCATCATCTTATTAACGTAAAGAAGGACGAACTGCATATGCTGGAAATAACACAAAAACAGAAATTCCTGGAAACTCATCACATCTGGCAGTATCTGTGGTGCAAAAGTAGAGTTAATGTTTCAGGCCAGTGACTGCTCTTCAGAACTGTTCTGAGTTTTTCCAGCAATTTCTGTTTTTGTATCTCATTAACCCGATTGGGTGAATTTTGCTTTCTTCCTACACCCTTCCAGCATCGTCTAGTGCAGTAACAGTGTTTTAACAGTGATGCCAAGGGTCAACATGGTTATACAGACTGATGACAGAGCTGTGGATAGGGACAAAGCAAAGCTCCATATGACTTCATTGCATGCATTACAGCACAGCAGCAAAATCCAAATAATATGTACCTTTGATATAGCACAACACTTTACTTAGCAACAAATATACATTTTGAGAACTGTTTGCCTGGTGAATTTTGATTTTCCAGTAACGCTGTGTAATTATAGGTAAACAAGCATAACACTGAGATCGAAGTCTGAGATCACCTGGGACACACTCATACACAGTTTTGACGGCAATTGCTTTAGTATCATGTCGTAAAGTGAACTTTTAAAATCTGCATCGGCCTGAAGCTTGCAAGAGTGATGATGGCAAAACAGTCAGCATTTGCCTTAAGTAATTTTCTTAAACTGACAGCTACATCTGCAGTCCCCACAAGTGAAGTTAAACAGGGAAATCCAGACCTTACTGTCAATGATTTTATGCCGTTTCAGAGGCTGCACAGTTGAAGTCCGCTGTATCTCTGTATCAATGAAACCAATAGAAATCACTGAACTAATGAGAACTTGCCCTATTACGCTACTAATCTCAATGCAAATTCCATTATAAAGGAAACATGAAATGGGGAAAATGGCACAAAGATGGTTGAGCAACAAACCAAACACTCAGATACTGGGCATCTGAAACAGAAAATGCTGGTGAAATTCAGCAGGTCTGACTGCATACATGGAGATGGAAACAGAGTTAACATTTCGAGTCCAGTATGACTTTTCTGTAGAACTGGCATATTTGAATGGAGGAGCAGGCCTGATGTGCTGAATGGCTGTCTCCCACTCCTATTGCCTTATTCACTGCAGCAGCTCAGCTTCTTTGACAGCATATTCCAATGCATTGACCTCCATCTCTTAGAAGGTCAAGGGCCGCAGATACACGGGAACGCCAATGCAAATTCTAATCCAAGTCACTCCCCATCCTAACTTGGAAAAATATGGCTGTACCTTCAGTGTTACTGGGTCTAAATAGTGGACCTCCCTTCCTATAGCACTGCGGGGGTACCTACACCACATAGTCTGCAGCAGTACAAGAAGGCAATAGGGTTAGCAAATAAGCAAAGCCCATAGACTTTTTTTTTCGATCTTGAGTGCAATATAGAGTGCAGTGTTTCGAAATAGCTGGGAGGATGCACAGGGCACGTCTCTCCATTTCAATCGGCAAAGGATCGTTCTCCTTTCGTCCACTCCAATTTCAGCAATTGGCCCTATCTCTGCCCCTCTTCCTGCTCTTTGTCATTTCCAAGCGTATCTTTGCAAATCAGGGCTCAGGGCTCACCTTGCTCTAAAACCTGGCGTCAATCAAACCTCCAGTTAAAACGCCCCAGAGGAATAAAGTGTTCAGTTGAATTTTCAGACAATTCCACTGCTAATGGCCCGTGTAAAAATAGTTTTGCGACAGAACAAGTATCGGACCCGTTATTTGAAGGGGTGGGAATCCCGGATGACTTGCATATAATTATCCCGCACACCTTTTGTAAAACATCGCCACGTTATAACTAGAAGTGGCAACGTGTGGTAATAAACAACTAGAGGTGTAAAACCTTCCAGGGAACTTCCCGGGGCTCTGCTAACACTTTCAGCAGCTCCGGTCTGTACAAACAAACGAATCAGAGTTTGTAAAGCATCCACATCTCCCTTCAATAGTGGGAAGCAGACTGCACTTCAACTGCATTTACTACAGGCTGCAATTTACTGAAGCGAAAATCAGACAGTTGAAAGCAAAACAAACGGGCCTAGAGTATAGGGGATAGTAGAGCTGGATGAACACAGCAGGCCAAGCAGCATCAGAGGAGCAGGAAGGCTGACGTTCCGGGCCTAGACCCTTCTTCAGAAAGTATAGTCTACAGTATAGTCAAGTAAAAGGCACGTGAAACCATTTTTTTTTGTTTCGAAAACACTTGCAGCGTGCAGAGTGATCGAGGATTCAATTCTCCGTTAGCTATTTTCTTTTGGAAACAAACTGCAATTGGGGAATGGGGCTAGGGCCAGAGGAAATTGCAATCTGTCCAGGCGTGCCGCTGCATGAGGGAGAGGGGAGAGAGGACAGAGAAAGACAGAGAACACCTTTCCCTTTAACAAAAGACCGAGCGAGATGAGGAAAGCAAGCAGCAGCGGGAGGATGAGCCTTGCTTACCTTGGCAGAGCCTGGATTGGCGGGTCCCTCATGTTGCTGGGTGGGGCGTGTTAGCTGGATAGGGAAACATTCAACAGTTCAGGAAATGAGCTGTCCCCTCAGTGCAAACCAGCAGCCCAATTCTTGGTGGCATTTTTCCGTTTTGTTATTTTATTCCCCGTCTCGACTGTTGGAAGGTGAGCGCTCCACGTGATAGTTAGAAGTTTTCGTTTTTTAAAAAAAGATGTCCAAGTGTTGTTTTTACCCCCACCGCGAAGGTTCCACCAACTCTCGGAGATTTGATACAATGTGATCCCATCTGCTCCTCCTGCTGGGTTCATGAGCTGAGGACACAGCCTGCCTCACCAGACTGATAACACTGAGGGGAGCAGGAAACGCTGAATAATTGTTCTGTGCTTTCTGTTTTGCCAGAGCAGGGAGGAGGCGACACCCTTCATTCCTAATTTTCCAGGGACCCACACCGACTGCGATTCCCATGCGGAATTCCGCAACTGAAAACCCGGAAATTCACCGGGACTCCAACCTCGCCTAGAAGAGAGTTTAACTGTAGCTGCCGGAATTGAATTTCTACGAGTTAGTCTCTGAATATGTCCAGACCCGGACAGCATCGGAATAGCTCCTCGGTTTTCCCTTTTGTTTTGAAGAAAATCGTGTTTGCAGTCAAACGATGAAAGTGATAAACGTGGGAGACCCAATTAGAACTTGTTTGTAGCAACAAACTGTGCAGTGCCGAATAGAATACTGTTATTTGTATTGACGCTGTTTTTGTCTGCATTAGTTATATATATATAATGTTTATTTTTATTTCGTAGCTTTAATCAAAGAGGCACTGAACTTATGATAGGAAGAATTTTTTTTAACAACTTCTTCCAATGTAAATCCAACAAATCCCTCGTCGTCATCACCTCGGTAGTGAGTTTCTGCTGATTGGACAGGCATTTCTACACTCATTGCGGCAGGATGTGCCCTGAGATAGTGGGATCTAGATCTCAGGATTTGCTTCCTTTTCTTTCCACCTGTTTGCGAGACCTCATCATGGAGGTGTTGGACTCAAAGCACCGTGTGGTTTGATGGACAACTGGTTTCCATCCGGAACAAATGGTAGCAAGCTCCTGGCAGTCATCAAGGTGCTTCGGTGAGAATTGCTGAGTAGCCAATTGGGAGAGAACAGGACGTGGTGGTACCAATGGTTTTCAGCCCCCCATACACAGCCTCCAGTCCACCCAGGTTGATTTTGTAGGAGTTTTGTCTGCATGCTTGCGGACTTCGCTTCAGCAAGGACCCTAGTAATTGTTTACTTAACGTCAAACTGTGATTTTAAAGTCATTGTTTAATCTCCATTTCTGAAGCACTTGTTAATGCTAGCCCCGAACCTCTAACCCTGTGGAAATTTAAATATGGAAAGTGGTTGTGCTATGTCTAAATAAAAATATCCTTTCGAAACTTCAAGTGTAAAAGTTTATTAATACACATCAAAAATGCTGGAAGTGCACTGTAGGTGTCAGGTGGAATATCCACTCTGAATTAATAGGCACATCTTTTATGGGGTCTGATTTCATAATTGCAGCATTTGTCTTTTGTTTTAAAGGTAAAAGACATGAACACTTATAATGTGGTCACCAAGTCTAAAAATAAGAGGTTTTGTACCCAAACCCACACCTGAAATGCCAACAATAATAATACTAATGGCCAAGCTATATAGTTAATTAAAAATATACTTGCATTTATATAGTGCCTTTCCAACCCATGTGATTTACAGCCAACAAAGAGATTTTAAGTGTGCAATCACCAAGACCATCCACATCAACCTGTCTCTACCACGGGTTGCTGAAACTTTCAACCACTCTTTAGTAATCTTTAGGTGTAATTAGAATATAAGTTTATTGTCAGGTGTACTTTACATGAAAAGGACATGAAAAGTTTTATAAGTCACCCAACTATGGTGCCTATATTAATGATAGAAGTTATACATAATAATTAAAGTAAAATTAAGACAAAGTCCATCATAGTTCAGTGAACAGCTCCTGGGCCCAGGGAAAACCAATTAAGGAATGATGGAAAACCCAGAAGACACAGCCGGGAGTAGACTGCCATTTTGGGCTGCTGGAAGCCAAAGATGAAGAAGACCTTGCCACAGGATGAGACCTCCATGTTGGGACAAGACCACCACGTTGGGACAAATGATTTGACTGTGAATATAGGAGGTATGGTTAGTAAGTTTGCAGATGACACCAAAATAGATGGACAGTGAAGAAGGTGATCTCAGAGTATAACTGGACCTTGATCAGATGGAATGACAGGCCAAGGAGTTGCAGATGGAGTTTAATTTAGGTAAGTGTAAGCTGGTAGAGCAGGTTCGAGGGACCAGATGGCCTACTCCTGCTCCAGTTTCTAATGTTCTTATGAAAACTGGGCAGCATAGGCCAGTTGGACCAAAGGACATGTTTTCATGCTGTAGAGCTCTATGCTGCCTTTTGATAAGGCTAATCAGGGCAGGACTTATACACTTAATTATAGGGCCCTGGAGAGTACTGCCAACCAAAGGGACCTAGGGGCGCAGGTACATTGTTCCTTGAAAGTGCAGTCACAGGTAGACAGGGTAGTGAGAAAATGCGTTTAGCACACTTCCCTTCATTGGTCAGTCCATTGAGTGTAGGAGTTGGGAGGTCATATTGCAGCTGCTCAGGACATTGGTTAGGCCAATTTTAGAATACTGCATACAGTTCTGGTCTCCCTGCCAAAGGAAAGATGTTGTTAAACTTGAAAGGGTTTAGAAAAGATTTACAAGGATGTTGCTGGGATCGGAGGGTTTAAGCTACAAGGAGAGGCTGAATAGGCTGGGACATTTTTTCTTGGAGCGTTGGAGGTTGAGGCGTGACCTTATGGAAGTTTATAAAAACAATGAGGGTCATGGATCGAGTGAATAGCCAAGATCTTTTTCCCAGGGTAGGGGAGTCCAAAACTTGAGGACGTAGTTTAAGTTGAGAGGGGAAAGATTTAAAAGTGACCTAAGGGGCAACATTTTCACACAGAGGGTGGTGCGTGTATGGAATGAGCTACCAGAGGAAGTAGTGGAGGCGGGTAAAATTACAACATTTAAAAGGCATCTGGATGGGTATATGAATAAGAAGGGTTTAGAGGGATATGGTTCAAATGCTGGCACGTGGGACTAGATTAATTTAGGATATCTTGTCAGCACAGACAAGTTGGACCGAAAGGTCTGTTTCTGTGCCGTACATCTCTATGACTCCATGACAAGATTACCACACTGAGAGAACGCCACATCAGGCTAAGATTACCATGCTGGGCATCCCCATCTGATGCTCCTCCAGACACTGCCTGCCTGATCACCCATCATTTGCCCTTCATGAACTTGAATTCATTCAAAATTGCACTGAGTCCTGATCACACATCACAACATTGATTGCCAGTCCATCAGCAGCTCAATTTTAGAATTCCCTGAAGAAGGGTCACCGGACTTGAAATGTTAACTCTGCTTTCTATCCACGATGCTGCCAGACCTGGTGAGTTTTTTTTTCCCAACAATTTCTGTTTTTTTTTCCGATTTCCAGCATCTGCAGTTCTTTGGTTTTTTTTGTTCAAAATGCTCATCCTTATTTTCAAATCTCTCTGTAACTGTATCTTTCCCTTTATCTGTACTTTCCTCTAACCCATTTTTTAATATATTGATTAATAGATAAATATTGGTCAGGCTACCATGGATAAATCCGCTGTTCTTTTTTCAAACAGAGTCATTGGATTGTTTTACATCAACCTGTCAGTGTCGGAGGGGTCGTGGTTTATTTATTTAGCTTCCCATGACACTTCTAATAGTATACCATACCCTTGGTGCAGCATTTGAGTGGCAAATTAGGTTTTTGGTTTTGACCCTAATGCCAGTATTGGCAACATATAAAGAGGACCTTTGGCAACAAACTTGGTCAGCATAGATATGGTGGGCTGAAGGGCCTTTTTCTATGCTCTATGACTCAATGAAATCTTTTTTATATCATAACTAATTGCATTTGGGTTAATAAAGGGTATTTAGGTAAATACCCTCACTCTGTTTATGCATTGTATTAATAGCAACTTTTTACGTCCTCCCAATTCTCTCTGTTGGTGATTAACTTGTAAATCCAGGGTGTACCCTAGTTGTGATGTTCCCTCCTCCTGCACTGAATTCTCAGTTTCCCCTTGGCATCTACCTTCTCGATATGATTAAGATCAAGTTGTGGGGGTGGGGTGTGTGGGCAATGGGAGGGACTTAAACCTTCAAATGTTCCTGTTGCATTGCATTAAATATTAATACGGTAATGCTCAGTGCTTCCGTATCCCAGAGGACTGTTTATGTTGCTTCTCTTTTATAAGTAAAACATTGAAATTTCCAGTGAGAAGTGCATTTTGACTACAGTTTAAGTTTGTTGAAAGAAGAGCAATTTTTGTTTGTCAGTGGTAGTGCAGGGAGTTTGTGAATTGCTCTCATATTATTTCCTAACCGGGCAAAGGATCATTGTGCAAAACATGTATGTCTTTTCTCTTTATCATGCTAGCACACTTACCAATTATTTTCTTTCTGCTTTTGTCTCAGACGTTTAAAATGTGCAGAGTTTATATTTCTATTGTTTCATTCACTGCCATTCGTGCAGGAGCATGAGCTATGGAGAATTTCCATTCATTTCATTTTTAGGGTTTAACTTGTTTACTTTAACCTGGTCACCGTTATTATCGTCTCTTTCCCTTCTTCTTTGTGATTAGCTACTTGCTGAGATTTGTTTTTTGAACCATTTTCTTCACACCTGCCTCCAAACCAAACTCAGTCCAAGTGAATTTCAGTTGAAAGTTTCCCCAAACTATCTTTAGTAACTTTATGATTACTGATTATCCCTGTGATATTCAGTACTCCTCAAATATTTCTGGTATTTCATCTAAATTTCTTGCTGTGTAATGCTCACTCGAGAAGCATCATGTCGGTTTGATCCGTAGCTGCGCAGGGTCTCAGTTCCCTAATGCCCCTTGTCTCACACTGTTAGGTTAACAAAAAAACAAACTCGAACAATTTATGAAAGTCAGTCACTGCCCAGTTCTCTTTCCCACTGTCCAGTCCTCTTATTGTCCTATCTTTCATGTTTTATGAGCTTCACTGGCAAGATCAACATTTGTTGCCCTGCGTTGTCATTGAGAAAGTGTTGGTGATCTGCCTTCTTAAACCACTGCAGTAGGTACACTGACACTGCTGTTAGGAAGAGAATTCCAGGATTTTGATCCAGCAACAGCCTTACTCCTTACTTCTTGCCAGGTTTACCCTCAACTCTGACCATTCCTTTTCCAAACATAAAAGATACATTCTCAGCAAATGCTTATCAGACTCTGTTTATCCTTAATAAAAACCGAAAGAACTGCAGTTGCTGTAAATCAGGAACAAAAACAAAAACAAAGTTGCTGGAAAAGCTCAGCATCTGTGAAGAGAATACCAGAGTTAACGTTTCGGGTCCGGTGACCCTTCCTCAGAACTGATGGTGGCTGGGAAAACGTCAGTTTATATGCAGAAAACAGGGAGGTGGGTAGGGTAGGGAGTAAGCGGTAGGATAGAGCCCAAAGAGAGAGAAAGACAATTGGACAGACAAAGGAGTTGCTAACGATCACCCGCCCATCCTGAATTCATTCCTAGGATGTGATTATCGCTAGCATTTATTGCTTATCCCTAATTGCCCATGGAGTTGGTGGTGAATCACCTTCTTGAACTGTTTCCATCCATATCTTGTACATGGCCACAGTGCTGTTAGACAGGGAATTTCAGGATTTTGTTAGTGAAAGTGAGCAAGTAATCATATATTTCCTGGTCAGAAGAAAGTGTGAGTCAAAGGAAAATTGCAGGTGGTGTTCTCATATCTCCACTGCTGATGTTCTTCTGAATGATGGAGGTTAGAAGTTTGGAGGATGCTGTCAAAGGAACTTGGGTGAGTTTCTGCAGTGCATCTTGTAAATGACTCACAGTGCTGCTATTCTGTGCAGTGGTGGAAGAAGTGAATTTTTAAGGTGATGAATGTGACACCATTTAAACATGCTACTTTTCCTCGATGGGTTAAGCTTCATGTATCCCTTTACCCTTTGTAAACATCTTGATCCACTAAAGTTATCTTCCTCTGAACTGGTAGATTTCTGTTCACTAAAGTACAACTCTGCTATTCTTGTCAAACCTGATCAGAAAAAAAGTGCTTTTGTTAAATAACAGAAGAATATCTAAGAGGCTGAGGCCAAATGTCAACTTTCTGATAATTGTTGACTTCTTTTGGACGTGACCCTGTCACTGAACCTTCAAACTGTTATTTAAACAAAAAAATACATCTGCCCTGTCTGTCCCTTTAAATAGTTTGTAGGTTTCACAGAAACACAGAATTATTATGGTGCAGGAAGAGGCTGTTCAGTCCATTGCGCCTGCACTA